ACGTTTAAACGTTAAAAACATTTTTAGCTGAATCACCACACAGAAGAAATAGTAACAAGGTAATTTACACCCAGTAGCCTATGCTATCATGGAGTCGAAAAAAAAGAGGAAAGGTGGCGCAGAAAGGGAGAAAATGAGAAAAAAGAAGGCGCTGGACGAGGATGCGGCAAAGTATTATAAACTCACGGATATGTTTTCAAGAAGCGAGTTGTCAGGTAGGCTACTATATGCACAGGAGCAAAATTAACACACAAAGGTATCCCGATTATGCTCTCTCTATTACGTGACGGCTGCTTTGATACGCGGTTCTATTGCTCAAGTTTGGCGTATGTGTTTGTGTGGTGGTTTGAAGGTGAGACCAGTGCGGCGGCTGCTGCTACAGAGGGACACCCACAATCGTGTTCTTCATGTAAGAATTGCCCCATATGCTGCTATACAATCCTCAGGCGTTATAATCTGTTAACAGATGCCTACCATCTCATTGGTCTAGCCTACAAGTACTTATTAACCTTATCTGTGACACAAGTGGCCTGTGAGAGGACATTCTCCATTCTTAAGTTTATGAAAAACAGTTTAAGGACCTCTCTCAGTCAAGAGCATCTTGAAGCATTTTTGCTTATGTCAGCAGAGAAAGAGATTCTCATGGAGCTTGACAGTGATGACATTATTGATAAAGTTGCAGAAACAACTAAACTCATGCAACGCCTGCTGACTTACTAGGATAGTGTGTATTGCACAACTTTTATTTTATTCATTTTATTTAGCTTCAAATGCAAGTCTTCATTATTGCTATGCTGCCCGTGCACTGCTCTGCTAAGATTTTGCTTGCATGGATCCCAAAAACTTTTCAGAAATAAGGGAAACATATGCGTGTTTACATGACTGAAATGAATGAATGAGAATGAATAACTTAAAGCTTTGTTATGATGTAAATGATTGTTCTCATGTTCAGTATATTAAAATATTTGTGAACTTTGACCTTGTGCAACTAGTTTCATTAACTTTACATAAATCAAAGACCCATTAAGCTTAAGGGAATGCTACAGTGATTACTTATGATCAAAGTGTAGATGAGATACTTTCATTTGGGAATTTAAATCAATTGTGCATCGGAAATAGAATGGCTCACTCAGTTTATTGGAGTAAAGAGTAAATGACAGTTTAATTCTCACCCAGTAAGAGAGGAGGGAGGGGGGGGGTGGCCTGAATGGATGAAAAGCTCCCGGCCTGAAATCTTGTCCCATTCCGGCCCTGTCTGGGTGACATGCCCCCACCAACATTTTGGGAGGACCAGAATGTCCTAATCAAATATTGCTAAAATACTTACTGATTCAATCCGAATCCCAGACAGGGATTGAAAGAATTTAATTTTGTGTCCCCAACAAAGCTGAAACAAAACCTACGCCATTGGTTCTATACAGATTTATTTTGGCTGGTCTTACTGCTGTTTCACAATGGGATAGTGGCACAAAAACTTGATATGCGTAAAGACCTGCTTAATGTGTCTTGTGTCAACATCTGGCCAGACTGACAGATTGGATGGCTAAGAATGTCCTCTCAGGTCCCTGATACTGGCCATGTCCTCTCAGGTCTTTTAAATATCAATACTGTAAACAATATTAGCATGTTCAAATATATATACATTTTCTCATACATACAGTATACTGTATTTAATCTAGTTTAAGCAACAACAACAAATCCAGATTAAGGCTATATCCACACGAAAACAAAACGCTTATAATTTCAGAAACTTTTTCTGTAAACACGGAGTTAGCTCAGTAAATGTGTGCGTCCATATGAATGTAGTCAATACGCCTGAAAACGCTGTGAAACTATGCCAGACCTGTTGGTGGCGCTGTGACGCAATGACGGGATCAAGCCCAAACTTCCGTGACGGGAACTGGGCATGCGCAGAATTTTGTAAACAGACAACATGGCGAGTGGGCGAGCTGGTACTACATTAGTATGGGCGGACGATGAGGTTGAACTGTTGCTTCGGGTCACACTGGATTACAAAACCAACAAGCTACATTGTTGTTGTCATTATTTTCTGAGTGCGGCGCATGCGTGCTTTAACAAGAGGCGGGGCGATGACGCAAGCGTCTCAGATACATTGCGGAGAGGCAGTAACCACGGAGCGGCATATACGGAGTTTTGAAATCTTTCCACTCTGGGACCTAGTTTCAAAAATGTTCGTTTACACCCCCCCAAAACGCCGGCCTCGTATGGACGATACACTGGATTGATAAAGTATTTTTGCGTTTAGGCCTGAGCTTGACTTCGTGTGGACAGGGCATAAGAAAACTGAAGGATTTCAATGTATTGTAATTATTTATGATTCCAATGTCCTTGTTTGTGTTTTGTTAATCACTTTTTTATTGCATTGTGTATGAACTGATGTTTACAAATAAACTTGCCTTGCCTTGTTTGATATTGATTGATATATAAAATCAAAGTATTGACATCTGTCTCAGAATTGAAAAATCAAGATTGGAGCATCCCTAATTTTTTGTAAACTACAATCACAGTTGCTGTCTTTAAGATTCAGTGCCCGAAAATGTTCTGTCAATGTCTTCAACGTCAGACAAGACTGTGCCATTCTGAGAAGCAGCCGTACCACTCCAAAGATAAATAACTTCTATTCAGTGACGTGCGGTGAGGTCTGTGATAGCAGAGGCACTGCTAGGACTAACGTCCATAAACTTCATATATTGTAAAGATAAGAGAACCAGCATATTTTAATAATCTCACAACAAATCTAGCTGCTGACTCTGTTCCGCATCAAACAACATCTTTGGGAAGCACAGGTGCGAGAGACGCAAGGAGAGAGAAAAAGGGAGCAAGAGACGTGAGGAGAGAGAGACGCAAGGAGGGAGAGACCTGAGGAGAGAGAGAAAGGGAAAGAGAGACGCGAGGATATACAGAGGACGAGAGAGAGGGGAGGAGAGAGAGATGCGAGGAGGGAGAGACGTGAGGAGAGAGAGAAAGGGAGAGAGATGCAACGTGAGAGAGAGCGAGAGAGAGGGACAGATACGAGGAGGGAGAAAAAGGGAGAGATGTGTGAGGAGAGAAAGAAAGGGAGAGATGCAAACACATAAAACACAGAGACTGACAAACTCCTCCCGTCTTACTACCCTCCAGTCCAGCAGCGGTCTCTCAGTCTATAATACTTCTTGCTTTGATTGAAGGTCCAGTTGAGAAAAAATTGTTGTCATTGTTTTTTAGCAACTCTGGTATAAACTCAAGCCCCGGTGATCCAAGATGGCGCCCTATTCAAATGAATGGCTTATGCTCAGTAGCGCATGGGATCGGTTCTGAGCAGTGGACGAGCTCCCATGATGCGTTGCATCAAATACGCATGTGTGGCTTTCATGCACGTGCACAGAGGGGCTCTGCCGCGCTTTGACCAGTCAGAGCTGCTGATCAGAGCAGTGGTAGAGTGGAGTCAGAGCAGGAAGGAAAGGAGCAGAGTTTGTGACAGTAAAGTGTGGCTTTAAAGAAAACCGAAGGATTTAAGAAGAAAAAAAGTTCAGGATGACAAGGGACACTAAAATCCCCACAAAATCCAATCTTTCTGAAAGCTGTAGGCTCTCTGTCAGCTGAGGTCGAGCTGTTTTAGTTTACATTGAGTTCTATGGGACTTTTTTCTGGGTAGCCCTCGTGAATTTAGTCTGCAGTACCACGGGCGCCCCCTGTGCCCATGGGTGGGACAGCTGTAAGCTAGTAATACCCTATCCAGTTATTATTATAGATCCATGTATAAACTTTATGCTCACTATCGCCCCTATTGGTGAGGCACAGATACTGCCTGCCTAACACCAAGCTTTTTCCCTGTGTATTCTTCTCTGATCAAAAGACTTAAACTAAATATAAATAGTACACACATAGTACACACACGCATACATCCCGTGTGCACTAATGCACAATGTAACACCTTCTTTTAAATACAAATTAAATAAAAAAGCACATCTACAAGAAATAAATAGAGAAAAGATCGGAAAGAGGAGGACAGACATACTGTTTTGCTTGAGTTAAATAAATACTATAATAAGATATTCTTTACATCAAACTGGCTTCAGTGTTTCAGTGAAGAGCATTTAAACAGTATCAGTAGACACATCAATAGAATATTTTGTCCAAAATATACATTTTACAATCGAATAATTAGTCCTGGCATCTTCTAGCAGCTTCTGGCATTGATTTGGAAAAGAGTCACCTGACTCTCTTAGTAACCTCTAAGTTACATTTAAGATACAACAATGTTTCTATCAATATGATCTTTGACATTTCACAATTTAGAATAATTTGTAATAATTATATTGGATAATTTTATATAGCGCTTAGGGGTTCAGTGGGGGGTTCAGTGGGGGGTACAGTGGGGGTACAGTGGGGGTACAGTGGGGTACAGTGGGGGGTACAGTGGGGGTACAGTGAAGGTACAGTGGGGGGTACAGTAGGGGTACAGTGAAGGTACAGTGGGGGTACAATGGAGGTATAGTGGGGTACAGTGGGGGTAAAGTGGGGGGTACAGTGGAGGTACAGTAGGGCTACAGTGGGGTGTACAGTGGGGGTACAGTAGGGGTACAGTGGGGTACAGTGGGGGTACAGTAAGTAAGTAAGTAAGTAAGTTTTATTTATATACCGCCTTTCACAGACCAGAGTCACAAAGCGGTTTACAATTGTTATTTTTTTGGGCACTTGTCCTCTCACTCCACACAGAGATGGGAGCGGGGTCGCAGAACAGGAGGCGCATGCCAGACCTATTGTACATATTTTTAGTGGTAGGGGAAACCGGAGTACCCGGAGGAAACCTACGCAGACACGGGGAGAACATGCAAACTCCACTCAGAAAGGCCCTGGTCCGGCCGGGATTCGAACCCAGGACCTTCTTGCTGAGCAGTAGGGGTACAGTGGGGTGTACAGTGGGGTACAGTGGGGTGTACAGTGGGGTGTACAGTGGGGGTACAGTGGGGGTACAGTGGGGTGTACAGTGGGGGTACCTGTCATGGAGTTCTCGGAGGTGCTGAGCTGCTCCCTCAGTTTGTCCACGTCGTCGGGGTGCACCTGCTCGTACAGGGTGCTGCCGAACCACTCGGCCTGCGGGTGGTTGAGGACGGGCGTCACCGAGTCCGACACGTAGATCACTCTGCCCGTCTCCGCCGCCACCACAAACAGGAAGCCGTCCGCCGCCTCCAGGATCAGGTGTTTGAGCTCCTGCAGGTTTTAATCATGTCATTTTAGTTTCAATCCAACACCGATCCAATACCTATTTCATCGTTAGCCTAATTAGTACAATGGTCTATCTCAGCCTCTCAGAAACCTGTAAGACCTCCATTCATAATTCACACACTGACCTAAGAAAATTACATAGTTATCTTTCAACTACTATTACAAATAAATAGCAAAATTACCCAACTCCCATGAAGGAGTTTGGTAAATCTCCCATGAAGAGTCTTTCTGTAGAGGAAAGATTCAGACTGAGACATGTTGCCAAATGTAATTATGTTTTTGTCATGTGTAGACATGTATATACCCAGATAGATACTTTATTGATCCCCTGTAGGAGAACCAACCATCTGTCTATTGATTGAGCTATCTTTCTATCACTCTATCAATCCATCTATCTAAGTGTCAATCTATTTTTCTCTCTATCTACAATCCGTCTCTCTAATTGTCTACCCACCTATCTATCGCTATCCATCCATCCATATATCTATATACAGTATATCTTCATCAATCTCTCTGAGAATCTATCGCTCTCTCTCTCTCTATCTATCCATTCGAAGAGCTATCTATATATCTATCTACCTACCTGTCTATCTCTCTATCCATCCATATATCTATCTATATACAGTATCTATCTTCATCAATCTCTCTCTGAAGATACTAAATCTTATCTATCTCACTCTCCCTGTATCCATTCATCCATCCATCTCTCTATCTATTTATCTTTATCAATCTCTCTAAGTATCTATCTATCGCTCTCTCTCTCTATCCATCCATCCATCCTCCATCTCTCTCTCTCTCTCTCTTTCTATCCATCCGTATATCTATCTATCTATCTGTATCTATCTCTCTACTGTATGTACTGTATCTCTCTGTCTCTCTTTCCATCTCTCTAACTATCTATCTTCTCCGCCAAAATTGTGCACCTGCTCCGTGAGAAAGGAGGGCTTGTAGGCCCCGTCTGTGGAGGTGTTGCCGGTCCCCCTCATGGACTTCATGTGGGACACGGCCATGCGCAGGATGGTCAGCTTGTCGGGCTTTCGGGCCAGAGCGCTGCAGGTGGGAACCATGTCGGACAGCTCTGTGATGTACTGAGTCATTTTGTTCCTGCGGCGGCGCTCAATCTCACTATGGTTCTCTCTGCAGAGGAATGAACTAAATCAGATGAGAAACACTCTGAGAATAGAACCAGGGAAACACACAGGTGATGATGAGCCGCTATCGTTTTGGGGGATGGACCTGAGTGACGTTATACAAGTGAAACATTAGAATACAGTGCAAAAGTTCATTTATTTCTGTATTTCAACTTCAAATGTACAACCAATGCAACTGTAGCCTTATTACACTGCAAAACATGATCGAATATGAGATAATATATGTTTTTATCTTATTCTGAGTGCATTCTGACTTGTCTTACACTAAATGTTTTCTTTCCACACTGCAAAAAGGGTTAGATTTGCCAATGGGACAATGAGCAAAATTATCTAGTTTTTTAAAAAATACAAGAAAAGTCTCCCTTTGAATGAGAAATTAAAGCAACAGTTCTTGAAATGATACTAAATGGCTTTTTCCCATTGGATAATCTTGCTCTAACACAGTCAGAATGTGCTCAAATTAAGACAAAAACCACTCAATTCAAGCAATTATTACCTCATAATTAATCGTTTTATGCAGCCCGAGAGAGACATTTCTTGTATCTTTTTAAAACAAGATAATTTTGCTTTCTCCCATTTGCAGATCTCATTTTAAGGCAGTCAGAATGTGCTCAAATTAAGACATGTTTGCCTTATTTTTCATACCTTTTTGCAGTGTACATGCAAATAGACAGATGCCAAAGCCAATGTGTCGTATCATTATGAGGATAATGGCTTACAATCCATTTTCAATACATCCAATCTTTCTGCCATGTTTTATTTTGGGTTTTTAAAAGCTGTCATCAATTTTATAACAAATAGGCTCACTTTGCTGCTATTTTACTTTCACATTGTCACTAAATGGACTTTTGGATGATATTCAGTTTCACTTGTGTATGAAAAGTTGGGTCAGGTTTTCTGTGGAAACCTCCCAAAAAAGCAAACCAGCCAATCGTGAATTCATAAATGGAAATCAGTCATTTAAGCAGTTGGATAAAGTGACAGTACTTTGAAGACAGTGCTGTTTTCAAAGTACTGAAAGACTCCTCCAATGTCAATATTACAGTAAAACAATCAGCACCAAGGCGGGCGGCTATTGCACCACATGGTATTGCACCACATGGTATTGCACCGAGGGTAGTCAACTGGTACCTGGCTCCCTGCATGGACACTATTCAAACTGGAAATGTCTTTGTATGCACAGTATGTACTTTATAGTGAATGTATCTTTGTTATACAGGGAGTGAGTAGAATATGGGTCAAATACCTTTATTGTCTATGTGTTTTATAGTTGTTTCTTTTCATTTAGCTATAATTATGAGAACAATGATTATTTTTCACATTTTATGTACCATTAATCCTATCAATTCTTTTCCAATGTTTTTTCTCTTTTTGCCTGTTGCTCTCTCTCATGTAGGTGTGTGTATATGTATATATGTGTATGAATGAATGTATGTATGTTTGTATGCATGTGTGTATGTACAGCAGATGCAATTTATTCTATATAATTTATAATTAGCAGTTTTGTAAATAAAGAGAGAATTGAATTGAAAAGTGTGTGAATTGTGTATGTGTTTCCTAAAGTGATTTGGTCTCTCTCACTCTCTCTGCGTCTCTCTGCCTCTCCCTCTTTCTGTCTATCTCTCTGTCTCTCCATCTCTTCTCTCTCTCTCTCTCTGTGTCTCTGTCTCTCTAACACTCTCTCTCTCTGGTCCGTCCCCCCCTGTCTCTCTCTCTGTGTCTCTGTCTCTCTAGCTCTCTCTCTCTTGCTCTGTGTTTGTGTGTGTGTCTGTCTCTCTCGTTCTCTCTCTCTGTGCCTCTGGTCTCCCACCTCTCTCTCTCTCTCTAGTCTCTGTTTGTCTCTCTCTCTGTGTGTGTGTGTCTCTCTCTCTAGTCTCCCCCCCTCTCCCCTCTCTTCTCTCTCTCTCGCTCTGGTCCCCCCCACTCCCCTCTCTTCTCTCTCTCTCTCTCTCTCTGGTCTTCCCCTTCTCCCCTCTCTCCCTCCCCTCTCCCTCTCTCTCTCTCTGTGTCTCTGGTCTCTCTCTCTCTCTTTCTCTGTCTCTAGTCTCCCCCTTCTCCCCTCTCTCTCTCTCTGTCTCTCTCTTACAGGAGCCCAGCTGCTGCTCCATACCTGGCATACCTCTCCTTATCCCCACCACAGCCCTGATCATCGTCATACCTGGAACACAGAGCATGGTCTGTCAGACACTCTAAAAACACACCACTTATATCAACAAAACTCTTAAAATATGGATAATAGAGAATGAATGATGTGGGCAATGGGAGGAAATGACAAACACATAAAAAAGCAGGTTGTATCTGATATATACAATAAATCTAATAGATCAATTGAATTAAATTACAAATACATTCATACTTAAACAAAACTATATAAAAAAAGACTGATTGATCAGATTAAAATAAACAAAGTAGAATTAAGTAGATTCAGTGGGAGTACATGATTTGAGGCAACATCTTTAATTGGGGCTTTCAAATATTGCAATTACAATTAAGTTAAATTGACATTCAAACTGTAATGTAGGACTCCTAAATCTTTATTATAAGAACATTATTTGCCAAAGAAACATGCAGAAAAAAAAAGGAAATACATAAAAACGTCCTTGTTTCTTTGGCAATTGTTATGCCAAGACATTTACATTTTAACTTGTCAAATTTAGATTATATAGCAATTATTTATACAGCCCAAGCATAAAACATAAATATGACTAAATATTGCATAATGTCTGAGAGATCTACAAAAAAAAAATCACTCTGTTCTTATTTACTCGTGTAAGACCCAGTGGTGCATTTCTTTGCTACAGGATAGTTTGTCCACGGTGGAGTCAAACCCTGGGAGTCAGACTGCAGTTCCTCCTGTAGCCACCAGGGGCAGCGCTGGTCTTCACTGAACTCTGTAGGGTCACCACTGTGAGAGGACTGTGAGAAATGCTGCAAATGTGGTTCTGTGAATATATCAATACTTGTGTGCGTTCACTCAAAAGAAAAAAGCATAAAACACAGACAAAAGCTGGAGTGTGTAGTCATGACACACACATGACACATACATGACACACACATGACACACACAGGAGACACACAAGTGACACACAAGTGACACACAGGGGACCAGCAGGTTCAGCTCAGGAGCCCGATAAGAGTTTTGTAGCGTCTGTAAGTGTTGTCTGTTTTACTTAGTTTCCCTGTTACTCTCACTTTCCCACAGGGAAGTGAGAGTGAGCACGCGTTTTGACGTCTCTGCTCTGTTCACCCTTTTAAGCCTTTTAAAGCCTTTTAAACACGTTTTTACGGTGTATTAGTGTCTTTTGTACACTCTAGTGTTTTATTATCTTAAATGCAATGGTTCCAGAGCATTACGTCTTTTAACACAAAGACCAAATCGAAACGCGCTAGCTCGGAGGCTACCACGAGCGCACCACAGACATGGAAAGTGACACTGCAATGACCACGAACGACATTAGTCGCCTCACATTGGAGCTTCGTGAGAGGGACCGTGCCACTATTGCAGACCTCCGTAAAGAAGTCCTTCGCCTCACTGCAGAGCTGCAGGATAAACAGTCACTCGTGTCCAAACTTTTTGATGTTGCTGGCGGGCAACACTCACGGCTTATGTCACTGAGCGCTGCATACTGTGACACTGTCGTGTGGGAGAGATCTGTCAGCTCTGGACCCTCTTGTTCTACACCTAAGTGCCCGGTTCGGAATAAAGAGCCTGCGGACTGCGAGGAGCCATCCAGCGCCGTGGCCCATGTCCTGAGCCTGTCAAACCGCTATGCAGCCCTCTCCGCTGACATCCCAGCCCCCTCAGCAGAACCCCTGGACTCTGCAGCAAACTCTACTGCTGTCCGTGGATCCAGGTCCACTGCGAGAAAGACACTCTTAAAGGAAGCTGTCCTCAGACGAAAGAGTGGTCATTCCCCTTCTCTGACCCCAGTGCATCACCACCACTTACCTTCACCGGGTCAGCAGCAGCGACCCGAGCCTGCTCCTCTCGCTGCTCCAGCGTCTCCGTGCACACAGCGTGGGTTGCCCGGAGCTGAGAATCAACACCCCCACTCTTCTCCATGTGTTCAGCAGCGCCCTGGTTCGGACCCATCCCTGGATGAGCCCGCTGGTTCTGGCCATGGACACCGAGCGCCTTCTCCGCGGCCGCGTCCACTTTTCGCCCCGACTACTTTGATCGTTGGAGATTCCATCGTGAGGCACGTCCGCTTTTTTAACGCGGTCACTCACTGCATTACTGGAGCTACTGTCCCAGATCTGCTCATCCGTCTCCCTCCTCTGCTTCACTCCCTGCCCGATACCATATCCAAGGTAATCGTGCATGTGGGTATAAATGATATGAAGCTGCAGCAGTCAGAGGTCACAAAGAAGCACTTTATGAATCTGTTCCGCCTCCTCCAGTCCTTCGGGTTGTGTGTTTTTATCTCTGGTCCAGTCCCGACTGTAAACCGGGGAGACTGCTTGTACAGTCGCGTTGTGGCGCTCAACATGTGGCTCCAGTCTACATGCAGCACTTTTAACTTTATTTTTGTGAACAACTTTGGCCTGTTCTGGAAGCGTCACGTGGCCTATCGTCCAGATGGTCTGCACCCGAACAGATACGGCACCAGTTTGTTGACGGACTTCCTGCGCCATGTTGTTCAGTGCTCCCCGAGGGGGGCGTGACTGTTTACATCCGAGGCTTCTCGGCCCCCACCACCCCCCTCCTCTTCCTTACCAGCACCGGGTGAGTACTGTGGTGCAAACACTGACCCCTGTCCGTCTGGCAGTGTAACGACAGTCCTGCCACTGAACTGTGCTGACTCAGTTATGCATCTGGAACTTAACAAAGTACAACAGAGTTCACTTTTTAAACCAATAGAGACTGTGTGTGTTCCTCGCACCAGCTCAGAAATGTGTTTTAACTTGAATAAACACAAATTTAAAAGAAGGACAGCAGTTAGACGGTCCAACTCTGGAAATCTAATTCCAGTTCTTTGTAATCAATCAACTAAACCCACTGACACTGATATTAATTTTAACCTTGCTCTACTTAATGTCAGATCACTATGCAACAAATCATTTTTAATTAATAATTTTATCTGTTCGTATGATCTTGATTTTATGTTTATGACTGAAACATGGCTTGACCATAATACAGGAGATGCAGTTTTAATAGAAGCCTCACCACCAAATTTCAAATTTGAATATGAAACACGAGAAAATAAAAGGGGGGGGGGCATAGCAGCAGTTTTTAAAGATCGTATTGTCTCCCATAGGGTGTCTCTTGGGAAATTTTCATCATTTGAGTATGTTTCTTTTAAAATAGAACAAAAGAAATCTTCTTCCATTCTTATTATTGTTGTGTACAAGCCGCCACAGTCATGCCATAGTTTCACTGATCATTTCACTGAGTTGCTTTCAGTTGTGTGCACAGATTTTGATGGTTTAGTCATTATAGGCGATTTTAATATTCATGTGGATAATGTTAATGACAGATACGCAAAAGAGCTGAGTTCCATACTTGAATCCTTTGGCCTCACTCAGCATGTGAGTGGCCCCACCCATAGCAGAGGACACACCTTGGACCTGCTTATCACGAAAGGGGTGAATATTTCAAAAGTTAATGTAGTTGATGTTGCTCTGTCGGATCATTTCTGTGTATTTTTTAACATGTGTTTTGCTACCAGACCACCCGCTAAATATGAAATTGTTAGAAGTAGACACTTAAATGAAAAACACGGGTGAACTATTTATGGGAATGATCCATTTTGAGAACACATCATGTTCTACTGTAGATGAACTGCTTAACTCTGTCACCTCTAGTGTGTTGAATGTTCTGGACGCCATTGCCCCTGTGAAGGTAAAAATGGTCACAAATAAGCAAAAAGCCCCATGGATAAAAGCAGGCCCGGTCAGGGCACAGAAGCAAGAGTGCCGGAGAGCAGAGAGAAAGTGGAGAAAGTCCAACCTCCAGGGTGATTATAGACTCTTAAAAGAGAAGTTGTGTGAGTTTAACAGAGTACTACGTAGAACAAGAGAATTATACTTTTCTGAAACTATTGAAGGCTGCAGCAACAATCTGCGTGTTCTATTTTCAACAATCAATAGATTAACGAACCCCCCTGTTGAGTTGCCATTAGAACACTACTCCAAATCCAGGTGTAATGAGTTTGCACAGTTCTTCAGAGACAAGGTTCAGGGTATCAGAAATGCCATCACCTCTACAACACAAGTAACAATGCAACATCCAGTGAGGCTTTGTGAGCTAGCTCAATTTGCACCTGTCAATGATGAAACTGTTAAAAAGATAATCACAGGTCTTAGTTCCTCTACCTGCAGTCTGGATGTACTACCTCCTAGATTTCTGAAGTCTGTTATGTGTAGTCTATTACCCTCATTGACACAAATAGTAAACATGTCTTTTTTATCTGGAACATTTCCAATGGCCCTGAAAAAGGCAGTCATTAGGCCCCTCCTAAAAAAGAGCAGTTTGGATGCTGCGGTACTTGAAAATTACCGTCCCATCTCAAATCTGCCTTTCATGGGAAAAATTCTTGAAAAAGTTGCCTACCAACAACTTACTGAATTTTTAATATCTAATGACTCATTTGACATGTTTCAGTCTGGCTTTAGACCACACCACAGTACTGAGACCGCTCTAGTCAAGGTAACAAATGATATTCGGCTTAACACTGATGCAGGAAAAGTCTCTGTTTTAGTCATGTTAGATCTGAGTGCCGCTTTCGACACCGTTGACCATGAGATTCTCATGCAGAGACTGGAGGACTGGGTTGGTGTTGCTGGTACCGCCCTAAGCTGGTTTAGGTCCTATCTAGAAGAAAGGAAGTACTGTGTGGAGATTGGAAACTATGTCTCAGATAATATGGCCCTGACCTGCGGAGTGCCACAGGGGTCGATTCTGGGACCTCTCCTGTTCAATATTTACATGCTGCCATTAGGTCAGTTAATTCAAAGTATGAAAGTGTCCTACCACAATTACGCTGATGACACTCAGATCTATGTCTCACTGACTGCAGGAGAGCATGGGCCGGTGGACTCACTCCTTCGCTGTATCCAGCGGATCAGTGAGTGGATGCAATGCAATTTTCTCCAGCTAAATGCGGACAAAACCGAAATGATTGTCTTTGGTCCCGAGAAACAAAGAGAGACCGTCATTTGTCACCTTCAGTCTCTCTCCCTAAGGCCCTTAAATAAGGTCAGAAATCTGGGAGTAATAATGGACTCTGACTTAAACTTCAATAGCCACATTGGATCGGTAACATCAGCAGCTTTTTATCATCTGAAAAATATTGCCAAAATTAAAAATATTGTGTCCAGGGCAGACTTGGAGATTCTTATCCATTCTTTTGTTTCCAGTAGGCTGGATTACTGCAATGGCCTGCTCACAGGTATCTCCAAACATGCAGTAAGACAGTTGCAGTATATTCAAAATGCTGCAGCCCGAGTCCTGACTAGAACCAGGAAGTACGACCACATTAGTCCGGTCCTCAGGTCTCTGCACTGGCTTCCCGTGGCCCAGAGGATAGACTTTAAAGCAGCTCTCCTGGTGTACAAGTCTCTCCATGGCCTTGCACCAAAGTACATCCATGATATGCTAGTCTCATATGAACCAGCCCGGACTCTGAGGAGCGCAGGGACGGGACTCCTGTTAGTGCCCAGAGTCAGGACTAGACAGGGGGAGGCTGCTTTTCAGATTTATGCAGCTGGAGTCTGGAACGGTCTTCCTGAGGATGTGAGACTGGCTGCCTCTCTGTCAATGTTCAAATCCATGTTAAAGACTTTTCTTTTTTCCCGTGCATACAACTAGAGAATTTTATCTTTTTAACACACCTTGTTATTTATTGTTGTAACTTTTTGTGTTTTTAACTATTTTATTGTTTTTAATTACTTGTGTGATTTTTATGTTTTTAAATTACTTATGTGATTTTAATGCTTCTTAATTACATATGTGTTTTTAATTGTATTTTAATGGTGATGATTTGTGCATTGTGTGGTGTGGACTGTGAGGCGCTTTGTGTTGCCCTGTGCAGGAAAAGCGCCCTATAAATAAAGATTGATTGATTGATTAAGTTTTATTTCAGTAATTTTTATCCTTTTTGATTGTTTATGATTTCACGGTTTTACTATAGATCTGTTTTAATTAGCCTTTTTATTGTGCAGCACTCTGGAAACTGTGTTTATGAAATGTGGAACTGGATTTCTGATGCAAATTATTATGTAAATGGCTATGTATGTATCCATGTGTTTGTGTTACTGTTTTCGGTTTCATAGCTTGTATTTGTTTTCCCATTAAGCTTCCATGTTGTCGCGCATGTATGTGTGTGTGTGTTTGTGTGTGTGTGTGTGAGCGAGAGAGAATGTATGTATTATATTAACTGAATGTGTATGTAATGATTTCAAGGAGACCCCAGAAGGAAAAGCCAGTGCACCGGAGTGGCTGATCCTAAAAAACTAAACTAAACTAAACCTTTATGGGATTTTTTCCTATGCTAAACAGGTTTTAAAAACTTGTCAAAACTGCATTTTACTACAAGGTGGAGCAGATGGTCCGTGAAAGTCTCAAATGGCTCAAGTAGCTTCACTCAGTCATCACTGCCTCCAATATGAACACAGCAGTCTCTGTGCGTGTGTTTTGGCGCCCTCTAGTGGCTCAAGCGTCCCTTTGCATCTGCACAGTAAGACACTCTACAACCTGCTGCTGCATTTGTGAAGCAAAACCTGCTGATTCCCTGATGTTTGCAGATGAGATGACCACAGACAAACCTGCTTCTGAACTTTCTCACCTGGAAAACTTGCTTGGTCCTTCTCCGTCCTCGTCGTCGAAGTCCATTCTGAACCAAGGCAAAGAAAACAAGAGACAGATTCATTTTATTATGAACATTAAAATTACAAGAATAAAACAAATACTATTGACCCTATGAAATCAATCAACTAAAACAGTTTCAATACAAGTGTAAGATCATTAAAGTGCTGTATTTAAAGTGATAACAGCTTGTAGAAAGAAGTTGTAAGCAAAACAAGACATCCTGCATTTCAACGAACGACATCTTCTGCCAGATGTTATTAAACAACATGATTCTGCTGACTACAGCGTCCACAAGTGACGGATCCTGGACCCATGCAAGTGCAAATATACCCACCGAGATTATTTTCTTATTATTCTTTTACATGTAGATCCCCCACTGCACCGGGCATGGACACGGCACCAGGCAACGATGACATTGACATTTCCCGAATGTGGGACCAATAAAAGGAGTATCTTATCTGATCACACTCACCCAGCCGAACGCCTCTTTCCCCCTCGTCCCGGGACAGTTCCTCCCATCCGCACCTGACTGGCCCCCACTGCACCGGGCATGGACACGGCACCAGGCAGCTCACTGGCCATCTCTGCAACGACACACAGGGACCACAGATTTAGTATAAATTGGATTTGAATTAAAGCATGAACTAACGAGTAGTCTTTATTAGAAATTCAAGTTTTTTTCTAAGTAGTTCATAAAAATGCTTATTACTACATACAAGTTGTATTATAATCCGTAATTTGATTGAAAGCTTGAGGTCATTGATTCCACTGTGTATGAATTCAGGCCGTGAAAAGTGTTGAGTAGAGTCTGAGCGGGACGCTCGTTCTCCTCCGCTCACAGAACAAGAAGCAAACAGCCTGCGTCCTCTTGTCTCTACAGCGCTGGTAAACACTAGGGCTTTGACTTTGAAATTCGAATATAATTCTAAGATTAAAAAAATATTTATATATTCGAACAATTATTAGACAGCCCTTATAATTCAAAATGTATTTAATGACTGCAAATAAAATAGTTAGCTCCCAAAGGTTTCCGGGACGTGCCAGGCAGGTAACAGCTAAGCTAGCTAGTTCAAAAACTCTCTGGAACTACATGAAAACTGAACAAAGAATTCTGAACATCAGCGGTGAGTTACCCATTTATAAATCGAACCTAAATCCATCAGATCCTCTTCAAATGTGTGTTAAAATGTTTGTTTCATGTTAATGGTTACTTCCGGGTTTATCGCAATCGCTTTTTGTCACATTAAAACAGTATTTTTGTCATGAAAACGTAAACAACAAATACTGAAAAACTCTGTGCATGTGTTAAGGATATATATATGTATAACTATTCTCTGATTAACATTTAAAGGTGTTGATTGATTGATTGGTATTTGTTTATTGAGCGTGGCTAGCTCCGCTAGCTTCTCTGCACAGACAGAAGTAGTTAGTGACAGGCGCTGGAAGCTGGTTGTACTTGCGGAGTAATATTAGTATTTTACACACCTGAATTACAAACAGAGATTGCCAAAGGGCATGTTACAGACCAAGGTCCCTCAAAGCACTTTATAAAATTCAGAGATTAGATGTGATTCCATTCTCTCCACACGGTGATGACGGAAGCGAGACGCCGAACACACTGGATCATTAAAGCCTCCGACCAAACATCATCCATCCATCATTGCATACAGACCTATTGTATATGTTGTCAGTGGTGGGGGAAACCGGAGCTTGTTATTTTTTACACTTTTCAAACATACTATTTTATTACATGTTGGTCAGAAAATTGCCATTTTTCAGAAATATGGAGATCGTGCCCTAAATGTGTGTGAGCTTCCTCCTTTGAGATCTGTCGCACTGATCTGGGACCAGATTCTACTTCTGCTCCTGTTCCAACAGCACCCGCTTCACCACCCTGTGTTTTCCCTCAGCGTCTGTTCTCTGCAAAATTATTTCAACAATTAAAGCGCTTCTTTCACAGAGTTTGCCAAAAAAAAAAATTTTACCTGCAAAGTATGACTTTATCCTGAGGATGTCCAAACCAATCACACGCTGCTGCTGCCAACAACTCCCACATCCAAACCCTGACCCATGTATTCTTATCCTGCATCTCTGGTTTGTGTTAATCACTGTTGCATCATTGAGGTATTGCTTGTTGTTAAAATTCTGTTGAATAATCATAACAACTATTAGGTCATTTTATCTTGAAGGCAAATAGTTACTATAGTTTGGCATAAATGACTATAGCAGAAACATGTGCATTTCTCCACTGTGACATCAATACAGTTTTATCTTATCTTAACCGTTAACCAAGAAAACCCCGGCCAGTGTTTTTAAAAACTCTTTTTAAATTCTGCGTCTGACCAAATGACAGCCCTGAGCTAATGGGTTAGCATAGCCTCTGTACAGTCTTTGCTACAGACCCCAGACTCCCAGGGGTCTCCAACCTGTAGTTCGGAGCCACTAGTAGCTCTCCATCCCCTTCCAGGAAGCTCGCCAAAGGGTTTGAAAATTAACTTACTCAGATATTATATTTAAAGTGATACTCTAAATGAATTACAAATTGTTAGAATTGTATTAAATTGACCGCCTGGCCTTAAATGTTGATATAAAATAAGTTATTTTATGAATTCTAATATTATGGGTAAGTCCCGCCTTCCCTTCTCTTAGCTATAGCTCAAAATCCACAATGCCGTCCACATTGATGCCAAAGCCTGTCAATCATTGCGCTGATACTCATAGCTGCGCGCATGCTCGGTTGTTTGTTTTCACGGAGCCTCCGAATCAAGCCTCTATTAGGCTCTGGAACTACATGAAAACTGAACAAAGAATTCTGAACATCCGCGCTGAGTTACCCATTTATATACTGAACCTATATCCATAATCATTTATATACTGAACCTATATCCATAATCATTTATATACTGAACCTATATCCATAATCAGATCCTCTGCAGATGTGTCCTATAATGTTCAATCAACGTTAATAGCTACTTCCGGGTTTACCGTGATCGCTTTTTTTCGTGCATTAAAACATTATTTTTGTCATGAAAACCTTAACAAATAATTCTGAAAACCTCAGTGCATGTGTATTGATAATGTGTTCAGAAATGAAGAGGAAGCTTTTTTTCAAATCCTGTACCTCTCTTTCTTTTTTCTGACAAACTCCAGACAATCACTTTAATATTTCAGATTACTTGAACGCCATAATGGAGACCCCTCAGAACCCCATCAGAGACCCCTCCAGAACCCTGTCATAGAGACCCCTACAGAAAGCCATCATAGATACCCCTACAGAAAGCCATCATAGATACCCCTACAGAAAGCCATCATAGATACCACTACAGAAAGCCATCATAGATACCCCTACAGAAAGCCATCATAGATACCCCTACAGAAAGCCATCATAGATACCCCTACAGAAAGCCATCATAGATACCCCTACAGAAAGCCATCATAGATACCCCTACAGAAAGCCATCATAGATACCCCTACAGAAAGCCATCATAGATACCCCTACAGAAAGCCATCATAGATACTCCTACAGAAAGCCATCATAGAGACCCCTACAGAAAGCCATCATAGATACCCCTACAGAAAGCCATCATAGATACTCCTACAGAAAGCCATCATAGAGACCCCTACAGAAAGCCATCATAGATACCCCTACAGAAAGCCATCATAGAGACCCCTACAGAAAGCCATCATAGATACCCCATAGAAAGCCATCATAGAGACCCCTACAGAAAGCCATCATAGATACCCCATAGAAAGCCATCATAGAGACCCCTACAGAAAGCCATCATAGATACCCCTACAGAAAGCCATCATAGAGACCCCATAGAAAGCCATCATAGATACCACTACAGAAAGCCATCATAGAGACCCCTACAGAAAGCCATCATAGAGACCCCTACAGAAGAGACCAGTGTGATTGCTCATTGCCGATTCTCTGTCCGCGCACGTTCTGTATGCAGCGGATAATAAGCACCACTTCTTTATTTATATTCCGGCTTCATTTACATCCACAATGAGGCGACACGGAGCACGCGGAATGCCACGCTTGACCTGTTCGACAGAGGTCTCCCACACAGGATTCATTACAGGCCAAGCGCATGTTTCTGAGACGCCGCGAGACCGAGACCGAGCTCTCTTCACACCAGCAGGAGCTCGCCGTTTCATGGTCAGTTTTTTAATGCATATTTATTACACAACAGGTCCACGGCGGCCACTGGGGGACGGCAAAAAGACAAGGATTCTGGTATTGCATTTTGAGGAGTTTGAGCATTTGGGGATTTCAATTGGAGCTCTACACCAGTCTTCCTGTAACATGTGAGACAGGATTCTTCTGCGATAATGTTCAAAACCAGGTCAGCTGTGCAGACAACTGAGGGATTTTTATCTTTACCTTTTTTTAGTGTACACTGTCATTATTTATGATTTGAATGCCTTGTTTTTAAGTACTTGGAGTTGCCCTGTGTATGATATGTGTTATATAAATAAATTTGCCTTGCCTCACTATCTTCAATGCGGTGAGTTTGTACCTGCTACTGTCCCTTTCAGGGGTCAGCCATCTATTGGTGCAGATATCACCCAATATTGATACACAAGTAAAACAGAATATTGTTCAAAGGGACATTACATTCTGTAATTCAACTCACATTATTATTTTATTATTTGTGAAGTTTTCTGTTTCAATGAAAAGTATGAATTATGTTAAATTGGACTGATCAGGTATTCATAGTATTCAACATTATTTTAGCTTTTTCTGAGGAGATTTCTGAGGTTGTTCCAGAAATATATACACGACTCATTACAGACAAAGTATATAATGTTTATAATGTTGATAAATGGTTCACAGCTTGAATATTTAGACTACTACTGCTACGATGTTTTTGAAAGAGGCCTGTAAGCCATACTCCTCAAAATACTTAAGTATTTCTTTGGTCATTATGTACATTATACTTAGGTCAGATGTTTCCAAAGATCAAAAACATTTTACAATAGAGAAAAAAAGAATAACTAAAGCTTGTAGAATGTTAGAGCTAAATAATGCCAGGCTTGATTTCAGGCTTTTAGGCTGAAATGATTACTGACTTATTACTTACTAATGCCTTATTGCAACAATACGTCCAAAGATGACACATTATACAAAGACTTATTGGTTTCACATTTTAAGTTGAATCACAGAAATAATTGACCAATATTTAGATTTGTTTTTGTCTCATCAGTGAGTATTGTGTGTTTCCTGTTATATCAAAAACACATTTGCTCCAGACATTAAAACAAATAGTACATGCAGAACAATATTTGTCTGCAGTTTTAATAATTTATTAACACTGCAGACAAATATTGTTCTGCATGTATCGGTTATCATTCCTCCTTGATACTGATTATATGAAATGTGACATCACATCCTTCCAGAGCCTCCTATAGGTTCACACTGTAGTGGAGGCAATTGACCTTTTTCCTGGTTACTATGGTAACTGCCAAAAGACAACTAGACTTAGCTTGGAGCTAATTTTGATCTAATTTTCTGTCCAATCCACACAAAACAAACTGCCACAAAGTCCCACATCTTCTTTGTCAAAACAAATCATCTATGATCCTCATTCTCATGAAGGTGTAAAGACAGCATGCATGAGGTTTCCAGTAGAAATGACTTCCAGAATGAAACGATTGGTTTTTGAATCTAATCACTATCAAATAATTTACATTTTCTAGAGTCCAAATCGCACAGCGATAGTTAAATATGTTCACTCTGCACATGCTTGTGCTTCAGCTGAAGGGATCATTTCTTTAGTGTTCAAAGTGTGATTAGTGACTCTGTTAAAGTCAGATGTTGATAAGATGAAAATTCTCCTCGACATTTTTGCATTGAGCTGTTCTTCCAACGACCTTCTGTGAGGCATGAGTTCTATACGTTACCTTCTGAATAATTTAAACCAACTAATATATGTTTAATTTGATCAGGTTCCTTTGTATCTAAATGTCTCCATCATGAGCCTGTATGGTTCTCCTGTCAAACACATGTGGTCTACAATTAACTATGTTGCCATGCTAAACTATGTGGCCATGCAAAACCAAGATATAGAACATGGAACATTCTACATGGAGATAGATTATATGAAACAATATATGAAAGGTTTGTGGAGATGCCTCTCTTCTATGACCTCATTTCAGTGTTTCATAAAAGTATGAAATACATTTTTGTATAAAGCGTCCCCTTCACTGCTGCTCAGCTGAAGTAAGTTTCATCTGACAAAGTGCGGAAACCACATGCGTCTGATATTATTAGATATGAAAGCTCATTTTCACAGTACAGTTAAGTTGAGGACATCCCGCTAAAGAGAAAGTGCCTTTAACAGAAAACAGTCTTTTAACTGGATTCTCCAACTGTTTGATCAAACAGCTCATAACAATGCAGTGTGTGACCAGTGAATGTGGCAATGTCCAACAAGTGAGCAACTGGCTTTCTCAACTCAACTCAACACAAGAGGAGTCTCTTCAACCCAGTGTGCCCCGAAGCACAGTATGCTCTTTATGTAAATCACTTTTATTCGCCACAGTCCAACACAGCCTCAGGTCTGTATTGTTTAAATGAGAAACGCTCCTAAATATGTGAACTGGACACTGGGCTTCGTGCGGCCGTCTCTCCTGGATCACAGGGACAGGCTCGGATTCTCCTGTCCTATACTCTTGTGCGTAAACTTGCCCAAGTTTAAGCCTAACGTTCCGAGCTCCGGAGTCCAGACCTGTGTGTGCATCCCAGGCTACAGGCTGCTCTCCCTCTGACCGTCAAAGGAGCTTTGTGAGCCCCTCACAAAAAGCAGCGCTCCCACCGCTCAGCGCGCAGAGAAGTGACGCGTAAAAGCGGCTTCTGGTCTTTTACAGAATAGCGACAGAATGTGAATATTTGCTCCCAGTTGTCTGCGCGCACAGAAGTTGTGTTGTGCTGTAGAGAAAAGCCGTCGCCTCGGTGAAGTGGGGGAAGGGGCTGGATGCGGAGCCAGAGCAGGCGGCCTCACGCAGCCTGCCCTCCGCACGAACAGCTCCTCACGCCTTTGTTCACACGGAGCCCGAGGAGCGCGCTCCGGGACCAGGTTGTCTGCGGGGACTCACCTGAAGGATTGACCGCGGCCGGTGTTGCCATGTTTTCCTCAGTGGAGAGAACGAGGTCGGTGATGGCGCACAATGACGCACAAAGCTCGGCGGCTGTGGGCTGTGGAGTCCTTGTCACGCTATGATGTCCGCTCCACACATGCGCTCAGGCCGAGGCACAGCGCGCAGATCCCAGAGCAGAGCTGATCCAGGCGGGGACGGGCGCTGACAGCCGCTGAATCAGCCTAGTGTTCTTCTGGGCCAGACTGAACCATGGACTAAACCAGTGCAAGATGTCTGAACGGTAGCACCGCGAGATCTGCCTGCTGCTTGAATAAATGAATGTTAAGGAGGCTCTGTGATGGTCTCTCATCCGAGGAGGCAGCTGCTGACGTGACCACCTTTTCTAATGTATTCTGGATGTGAGCCTATTGTTGAAGCATATCTTCACAGTCACACACACGGAGGGAGAAGAGAGCAGGACGAGCCACAGGTGCTTCGCCCTCTGCTCACATCACCTCCTCACACTGAGCAGATACACATCATGTTATTCACAGGGACACACACTGACTCACCCGCGTCTTTACCCTGTGGCTTTGTGCTCACACCCTCCACTGATCCACAGACAGACCCCCACAGTGAGACATACTTCTACTATTAGTACTTGTTACTGCGACATTAACGATGTGCAAATGTATTACCACTCCCAGAGCAGTCATTTTGACTGTTTTCAAATTTGGATTTTAGTTTTGGAACTGCTCGGCATGAATACATTTTTTGTCTCGCTAACGTGTGAATGAAAGTGAATAAACCTGAGGGAAAACTACATATTTTGGGGATATTTCACAGAATGGGAGCAGCCACAATGAAGGTTCTAGAAGATCTGGTAGTTTCAGAAATCTGGGTGCCCTATGCTTAATTCACATTTTTAATACATTGAAATAATATTTGCGTGTTTTGTAAATACATGTAATGGGAGCCCAGAAAGACTTTGCCAAAGAAGATAAACATTGATATTGAGACTATTGTATTCTCAGATCTAATCTGCAGCGGCAGGTCCACTCTGTGATAATTCAGGTTTTACAAACACCACTGACTCCAAGGTCTAGAGATTATGAGTGAACTAATAGAAGCATCAAAGCCTTTAAAGATCCAGTGTGCTGGGACTGAAACATTTGGATGTCTTTATATTTTGTGTTAATCAATTGATAAACAATAGCCTCAAATTCCAGGCAACGTGGAAGAATTGTGGGAAGTTTCTGGACCAGTTTGAGCTACACTGCGCAAACACAATATACGTAGTACAAACAAGTTCATAGAAGTTTTATATGAATTCCTTCTGGAGCTTTTTGATTTATTCCAAGTCCATAAATCTCATTTCCAGCGACATGTGCCTCAACTGTGAAAGGAGAATTATCAAAACAAAGCAGAAGCTCATTCTACAGTTTATCACTCTTTATTTACTAAAGAACTGAAGCCAAGGTCTATGATCTTTCTCTGCACAGAACATGTTCCCAATGATCATTAGAGTAAATAAGTCACAAAAGGCCAAAACTACAGAGTCTCAGCTTCACAAAGACTCCAAAAGTAAACTCATAAAACCTTCAGGCGTTTTAGTGTTAATACTCTACACATCCCCTGTAGACCTATGTGTGTGAGTGGCTGGGGGTGGGAGGGGCTGATGGCAAGTACACAGTGCCTCGCTTAAGTAAGTGTGCCTCAGGGCAGCTGTGGCTACAATAGTATCACCCCCATGTTTGGAGTGAAAAAGTATTGACATCTGAAGCGTCTTTGAGTGTCCTGAAAAGCAACTTCTCCTTTGGGATGAGAATAAAATGCTACTGCAGGAAATACATGTTTGAAAAATGAGTAATACTGACTTGGCAGCTTCGCCTCATTCCACCACCTCCATAACTGCACAAGCTCCTCTCCTCTCTCTCTCCCCTCTCTCTCCCATCTCTCTCCTCTCCTCTCTTTCTCTCTCTCTTCTCCTCTCTCTCCACTTTCTCCTCTCTCTCTTCTCTCTCTCCACTATCTCCTCTCTCTCTCCTCTCTCTCCACTATCTCCTCTCTCTCCACTTTCTCCACTCTCTCTTCTCTCTCTCCACTATCTCCTCTCTCTCTCCTCTCTCTCCACTTTCTCCACTCTATCCTTTCCCCTTTCTCCTTCCCTTCTCTCCCCTCTCTCCCCTCTTTCTCCTCTCATATCTCCTCTCTCCCCTCTCCTCTCTCTCTCCTCTCTCTCTCCCCTCTCTCTCCCATCTCTCTCCTCTCCTCTCTTTCTCTCTCTCTTCTCCTCTCTCTCCACTTTCTCCTCTCTCTCTCCTCTCTCTCCACTATCTCCTCTCTCTCCTCTCTCTCCACTTTCTCCACTCTATCCTTTCCCCTTTCTCCTCCCCTCTCTCTCCTCTCTCCCCTCTTTCTCCTCTCATATCTCCTCTCTCCCCTCTCCTCTCTCTCCTCTACTCTCTCCCCTCTCTCTCCTCTCTCCCCTCTCTCTCCACTCTTCTCTCTCCTCTCCTCTATCTCCTCTCCTCCCTCCTCTCCTCTCTCCCAACTACCCTCTTTCTCCTCTCCTTCCTTCCTTTTCTCTCCTCCTCAGTCAGATAAGGAGAGCAGCAGAGAGTCGTCCAGCCTCACAGCCTGTCCTGGTCTCCGGCTGTGCTCCGTGTGGTCCTCCTCTCTCACCCTCTGTGCCCCGTCCCGCCGACAGGGCTCTGCGGCTGGGTGAGTGGCTGAGTGGCAGAGCAGGGGGCAGCCCAGGACAAGCCCCTCTCATCTCCTGCTACTGCTGCTGCTGCTACTGCTGCTGCTACTGCTGCTACTGCTGATGTGAGACAGGTAAGGAGATCAGCCTATTGCTCTGAACATAATTGTGTTTGGTTGTAAGATTTTAAAATGTGTTTAAAAGTCTTTCACAATGGTAGTGTATGTATATACTTTACAATTGTGTGTTTTGGAATTGGAACAAATGTTTGGAATTGGATTGATTGATACAGAGCGCTGTCTGGATCCTGGATATTCTTCTAAGAAATGAAACCTCTTGGTAGAGGTCTGCACTCTACAAGTCATTTTCTAGTTGTAATAAAGCTGGGGTAACCAAGTTTGAAACCACAACAGAAGTCCACAGTTTCTTGCTCTAAATAATGTTTTTCTAACCTTTTAGATCCACTTTTCAGTTAACAAGAGAAGATATTATTACAAGAATCACAGCAAGGCAAGTTTGTTTGTATAGGTAAAGTGAGGTATGGTAAGGTGCACTATATTAATCCCCGTAGGGCAATGCATCCTCTGGATTTGACCCATCCTGAGGCCGCTGAGGCTTACATCAGGAGCAGTGGTCGCCATAGTAACAGCGTCTGGCGATCCATCTTCAGATGTTGATGCTCGGCTTGGTCAGGACTACCGCAGCAGCACACTAGGATTTTACCTAGTGTGCATGTTTTTAGTTGTAGGGGAAGAGCACCCAGAGGAAACCTACGCAGGCACGGGGAGAACATGTAAACTCCAGTCTGAAAGACTCTGTTCCGAACGGGAAGCCGTCTCTTTGAACCCAAGAGACGCCTTCTTGCTGAGAAGCAGGAGTTCTATCCACTCAGCCACCGATCTGCCCCGGCATAATCGCACAATTTATTCACAAGGCAACTCAAAGTGCTGAACAAAACCTTATAGAAACAATCACACAAGGTATTACAATAACCATATCCTCATATCTAAGAAGCTAAGCAGGACACAGCCTGGTTAGTGCTGTGATGGGGTTGTTGTGTCCTTAGGCAAGACAGATCACCCATATTGCCTATGAGTCTGGCGTATGTGTGTGTGTGTGTTTGTGTTTGTGTGTGTGTGTGTGTGAGGGATTTATGTTGGTACCTTGGCATAGATTAGCTTTTCTCCCATCACCCTCCTCCAGGGCAGCTGTGGCTACAGTAGTAGAATGAATAATGACACGTTTTGTGTTGAGAAAAAGGGCTATGTACTCAAGATGTATTATTGATTTATTTATTGATTTATTTGTGTATTGTTGATATTGTATTCAAGTGTATATTGTGTATTGCACTTAATGGATACAGGCCCGTATGTATTAGTATTGTATTTGTTTAGTGACAAACGTTATTATCCCTAAAGTGAAAGTAAACTGCTTCTGAGCACTGAACGCAGAACTCTACAGGAATCTTTAAACATATGTTACATACAGCACATGAATCCATCACAATACCTTAAAGTTCTTAAAGCCAGTGAAACAACACCAACATGGATTTGAACACACACACACACACACACACACACACACATAACACAAACCCAAACACTCTCCGGCCACACACCTCTTTTGACTCAATCCAGATGGAGCTGCCAAGCGTTAATGGTAAATTATATTATTAAACTTATCCTCTCACCAATTTTAGAAAGAAAATAATTATTGACACAAATATACATACAGTACACAATACGTTACACTGTAACGTATTGTGTATGTATAACTGTTACTGTTACTGTTACTGTTATAAGTGTTACTGTAACGGTTACAGTAACACTACAACGGTTATGTTTCAGAAAAAGAACAATAGATCTAAAGTATAGGTTAAGTATTTTGAGCTATTGAAAATGCATGTTTTCACCGAAGACAATTGCAAGCACAAAAACCTTATTGGAAACCCAGATAGCAAACTCATTTAAATGCAAAAGGCGCTGCATCCAAATAGTAGACAGTGACAAATGTATAATCCCTATTATTCACATGCAGGTAATATTATAAGAATTCATCTGAAGCAGTACATTTATTGTGAATCACTTCTTTCTTGCAGCTTTTTATAGCACTTTGTTTGATGGATTAGCTTTTCCACTGGCTCCAGAGTCTGCCCCAAAAACACAAAATCCTCGTTCACCCAAAGGAAATGAGTTAGTGGCTGCTCAACTCTACACATTCACATAATCAGGCGCTATGTCCTATACAGATTCAGATGATTTGCTAATTGCAGTAAAACCACAGTGGAATACATGTGCAAAAGTCCCCAGTGTGCACCAGGCAAGTACGTATATAAAATAATCTAA